TCAGTAAGCAGCAGACAAGGCTACTTCCAAATGAACTCAAACGTAACAAAAACGAAAACAAATCGTGTACAAAAACGCAGGTCACTTCGACGTTGACTTTCTCGTTTATTTTTTCTAAACGCAGCATGGCCCGAGGACGTGCATCCGAAACCTTGAGGCTGTTCTTTTTTTTATATTTTTACTGGAACAAAATTTTATTCTACCTCTTGTGCATGGCTGAACAACGATAAAATAATAAAGCTCGAGAGTGACTACTTCAAAAAGGGACCGTAAGAGAAGGCCAGAACGTTCCTAAATTTCTAATCGAGATTTTATTTCACGATCACCCGACCCGTTCTTTATGGGCTCTTTTTGCAATGTTTTAGGTCTCAAGGTAAAGCGGGTATTATTCTTCTTTAAGTACAGTTTAACGGGAGGAAATATTGGAGTTACTTAAAATTTGTGCAATAAAATTTACAAAATAGACTAATAAAAGTTGTTAGTTCGAAAACATTGAAACTGTGCCAACAATTAGCTAATGGTTTCAACAAAATTATTACTGAAAACGGTGTGACCTGATTTTTAATGATATAAAATATAAAATTTATACATACATATATATAGTGGATATAATCTAAGTTTTAGAATTATATTATTTGTTGAAACTGTAAGGAAATCGTAAAAATTGATCGCGTTAAATTTAAAAGAAATATATGTTCCAAATAAAAAAAGTAACATATAAAAATTTCATTCTGATTCTAAGCATGCCCATCTCATAACAATTTTCATAACATGAAAGTAGTCAAAACGAATTTTTATAAAGGAACGACGCATAAAATTTACATGACAAGTCAACTTACATACCATGATGTAGTCATAACCATATCTATATCTTAGCACTTAAAGTACTTTTTAAAATTCGTCACATGTTCCCAAAGCTCGACTTGCCATCGAGGGAGGCACGCTATTAACAAAAAGCCTACCCAAAAAAGAGAAAAATAAAAAACACAAGCCAATATTTTAAAGGACCATGTTTCAATGAGACACAATAGAAGAAAATAGTTTCTGGCGACAGCGTGGCCCATCAATGTCTGGGTTTTTTTACGGGTACAGTTACTGTTTTGTAACAAAAGTTTTAAAAACCAGTTTTGTCTTAGTCTTTCTTTGGTTGAGATCTTTATTTATTTATTTAGGTAAGCTTACAGACCAATTCTTAGACAGTTAGTTGTACTGTTTTAAAATCGAAGATTATCTATAACCAAACTAGAACCATTATCTAATTATAGGTCTAAGTATATTTTTTATAAACATACCATTAAATAAAAATAGTAATTTTATAAAATTACGCCTACCTACAGTTTAGCACAAAAGCAGGTAGGCGATCGATACATAAGCCTATAGTTAAGTAATTTGCGTATTTCCTCACGTACCCTAATAATGTTCAAAAGAAACTACCTATCCTTCCGCCCCTGGCAACGTCACGCACATCCCTTTACAAACAAACCAAACAAAAAAAGATAATAGCATGAGATCTTTGTACCTTTGTCGCAGGTAGAATTTAAATTAAAAAAAATAAAAGCAAAGCAGCTTTAAGCCGCAAAAAACCGAAGCGTGATCGCACAAAATATGCCTTAGATTAACAGCAGATGTCGATTTTGAAATGTAGATGATGCGAATGATAAGGGTTTTATTTTTTGCTTCGGCATAGCCTGAAATCAAAAATATACTGACAAATATGTCGGCAGAATGATATACAGAAAACTGATTATACGATTCGTGCGTGTCATGCCGAATTAGGATAAAGGATTATTGTGCTACCTTAAATAAAAATGGCGTGCTTAGGTAGTTATATTTAAAGGGCCATGTATGGCCAGGTCACCTTCTCAAGGTTGAAAATAATTAAAATGGTGTTCATCATTTCTAAAAATACGTCAACTATTTGACTAGAAGAACAGTAAACAAAAAATGTTAATAAGAGTTGCTATATACTGAAAAATATACGAAATAGCACACAACGAACGCGCAGTATACATGAGATCAATTTCATTCAACAAAAGGTTCGATTAAGGAGTTATTTTCGATCTAAGTAATTTGATTCACGCGTTCGTTGGTACTTAAGTACCTAGTTAACGTTGCTGGAACTACTAATTTATGATTCCATTGAAATCTGATTTGAAACGTGGACTACGTTTGATAAAGTTAATGGACTCTGAAGTTATTTTATAGGTAGCTACTAGGTTCTTTAGAAAAGTTCCTTATTACTTCACTATTTAACACTAAATGTTTTGTGATAGTCCTTTGCAATAATATAATTGAATTTTCACTTTTGTCAGCCTTTTTAAGACATATTAATCACAGATACATTTACGCAATGAATTTAAATGATTTGTCTTTTAAGAATATAGCATCACGATTATACTAGTATTTCTCTGTATAAATGTAATGATTTTACATTCATTGCCTACCAGTAATATTTACTATAACCGTGTGATGGAACGTGTTCGATATAACTATAATAAAATTTATAGCATCAATATCTTGGCGGAGCGCTGAAACAAATAAGTTTAAATCAATTTAAAGCGAACCGATTCAAATTACGTTTGTAGAGACATGGTCAGCGTACTGATAACCAGCACAACCGCAACTTGTTTCGAATAATTTCAGTTTAGATAAATCTTATTTTTGATCGATATGTACCTAATGTACCATTAGATCGAATTGTATCTCATTCATGGTATGAGTGAATAGAATTAGGTTTATACAGATTATTTCTTTTTTTTTATATACAATTTTCAAAATAATTTCTGGCGTGCTATCTGCCCTGACGTGCTATCAGATATCAAAAGGAAAATAAATGTTAAAGTAGGTACTGTACTCGTACATATATATTTGTGACCCAGTACACGTAAAAGTAAATAGTACCTACAACAAATTTTTACAGAGTAATAAAAATTGTAATAAGGTAACACAATTATCTCTTTCGGTCCGTGTGGTGACGGATTAAGAATACAGAGTGTCACCACCCCTATTCATCCCGTGGGTGTCGTAAGAGCCGACTAAGGGAAAAAACTACGCAGAACAACAGCACTGCAGAGAGAAGGAAAACTTGACACAAACCCTATACCAACCCGTCTGGCCAGCGTGGTACAGTAGGCCAAAACCTCCTTTCTAAGGAGAGGCTTATGTCCAGCAGTGGACTATTAATGGATGTTGATGATTATCTCTTGGTAAACTTAAACTAGTTATAGGTATAATAAATTCGTATCTTAAACATGTTACTTATGAGTCTTTAATTTTATTTTTCAAAAACAAATCAAACATAAATATGTGCAAAAAGGCAGATACACGCAAACAGTTAAGTTGAAAGATATTAAACCTGAACTTTCAAAACTTGTTTTAGTCATACACCAATTTTTTTTAGGTGTTAAATAAACTTTATATCACAAGTTTATTTTAAGTTAAATTATGCTTATATAATGACGAAAGACAATGAATATGATCATTTGAATAATTGACCTCATTTTTACAAGATTGTACTGCCAGTTTTCTAGTTTAAATTTAATATCAATGGTCACAGATATCCCTAAGTAGACTAGGCAAGTTAGAATATGGGTAATAAGAATGGTATCATCATCTGCCTACCATTTTCCCAATTTTATTTGGGGTCGGCGCAGTATGTATGATTTTTCCATTCTACTCTGTCATGCGTCATCTCACTGTTTACTCCCTTCCTAGCCATATCCTCCCTGACGCAGTCCATCCACCTCTTCTTCGGTCTGCCTCTTCTCTTGTACCCTTCAACTCTCATACCTAAAACTTTCTTCGTCACATTTTCCTCATCCCTCCGCATGTAATAAGAATGGTAATAAGAATGGTAATATTTGTTAAATTGCAACCTACACAGTCAATACTTGTAATACCAACCATATAGTCTGTACAAAATTAATTAGTGGTCTAAAATCGAAATATTAATTTAGACATTATAATATATTTATTATTTAAGAATGTACCTCAATGATATTCAGCTAATGCTGCACAGAATTCGTAATTAACTTATAAATATTTAGTCCTTAAAATTAGGCCTATCATTAGTACGTCGCAACTCATTCAGATACCTCATAATCGGTTTTTTGTGGCCCAGAACTGTAACAGTTCGCCACATGATAAACGTTTTTAAGAAATTCTTCAGTAACTTCGAAATGTAATTTAAAAATTTATTTAGATTTAACGTTTCTAGAAGAAGGTATCTAAATCTCTTTTTCTCATTCAATTAAAGTGCTATTAAATAATATTCAAAAATTATAGTTACAAATTGCTTAGAAATAAGATAAGCGATTTAATACAAATCAACTGTTTCCATTATTCTCGTAATTTTACTAAAAAAAAAATGGCTTCTTGAAGAACCAACTAAATAAACATATTATTATGTGGATCCGTAATATGCGCCTGTTCCTAGTCTAGGAGTCTTGGCTTTCACCTAAAACCTTTGTTCAAGCAACTCGATTGCAGAATGAACCAACAAAAAGACCTATTATATTTTCTTATTCAGTATAAGATTCGATTTTGATAAGAAGTTCATAGAGAATCTGTTTCAATGATAAGATATTTGGAAAAGTCAGAGGTAGGTACAATCAAATTGGATTATAGTTGTGTTTTATTGTTTTTGTAATGGCGTTTAATTAATACACAGTTGTTGAACAATGAAGGCCTACGTGTGCTATGTATCTCTTAATGGTATTTGCACCATACTACTTGATCATATTCTTCAGCTTTATTTAATTCTAAAGCTTTATTCAACTAATTTCAAAATACTTTTTGCATGTAGAGGTACTCTGTCAAATTCACATTTCACTACGCTTCCTAGTGGTGAAGTTGTGTAACATAAATTTTACATTAAAAATAAGATTTTAACAAACACTTCAGAAAGAATAACAAAAATAAATATAAAATCTATTTCAATAGTGAGCAAGGTATAACCAAAAATAAATAAAGGTTGAGTTGAAGATTTATAGTTTCCTTACCTTCTGTAAACATGTAGCTCTACACTGTGCTACTCGTAGCGGAGATGACACTTCCTCTTCAGCCGACACTCCAATCCATGACATTATAAGAGTAAACAAGGAGAAACAATAAATGAACATTTTGGCACACATTTTCTTTGGTATTCCTCTCTTACGAATCCAAGTTTTGGTTAAAGCTCCGAGCTTATCATAACCGGCACATAAATCGAAGCGACGAGATATCGCTCATAACGTCTTCCTTATGTTTCTTTAATGTTTACAGTTGAATCTTTTACAAGTTTTTCGTCACAATAACATCGTAAATTATAAAACTATGAATGTCGGACGTAGCGGAGCTGAAACCCGTAATCCAATATTCAGCGACGAACGTAACATATCAATAAAACTTAAAATATACACAAAACCTTAACGGTAAGCGAGCGCACTTGGATATTATTTTTCACAGTTCGAATTGTTTCCGGCAAATTATTCCTCGAGAGCCGACGTTACTATCGGTGCGGTCGAATGCGGACTAACCACCCCGCTTGAAGAAGCTCAGTTCCTCTCCCCTCTGTTGGTTAATTTTTATTTCTATCTCGCTCGCTCGCGAGAGCTTTCCCTCGTCTCTTTCCCTCACAGTACAAAGCACCCATCCATGGCTACGTTCGTACTTCGTACTACTACGTGTACCGCTCTCTCTGTCCTCTCAACTAGTGCATATACATTATTATTCTATCTCGTTTTATCTCAGGCGGTTTCACGTTGTTTTTCCTTGATGCAGTTTAACGGATAGGAATGTAGTGGTTATTGTTAGACAAAGACAGTGGTAGTAAAAAAATTAGGGTTGTTCAAAAGGGGTGACAAAGAATCGAGCTAATTCAGGGCTTGCGTTTTTATGGGAGCTCACGCGGTAAAAGTATCCCGCCTCTCTCGTTTGTTTAACTTTATGGTCCTCGCATCGTGAAGCCATATTAATGATATTAATGGCTGCCGCATCAACTATTAATCTAACTTTTTTTATGATAGTGTTTATGAATTCTTAATTTTATAATGTTTTAAATTTGATCCATAAGGTTTATTAGGGTTAGTTAAAACAATTTTCAATAAGCCTATATAAAAATATAAAACTTTGAAGATGTTTTACTTATTTTAAGTTTGGTATATTATTATAAGTTACTGAAAAGCCTGTCCCTTGATGTTTCATCATATTTTTCAAGACAATTGTGATAGCACAAGGGACAATACATTTCAAGAGGAAAGCTGCCTCGCAAAAACCCCTTTAGCAAAAAGATTAAATAAGAATACAGTGTTCGTGACAGCGCACAAGCCTTTACGTAAAGGCATTTTTAGTTTTCTTTCTCCAGAATCTAGGCTCGTTCTATTCATCTCGCCGTCTTTAATCTTCCAGCCTCTTGGCAGACTTTGTCTAGACGAGGCCCGTTCGGAGGTAACTGCACACAATTTCGATACGGTCGACTCAGGACGAATGTTTCTGTCGGACCGGACCTAAGTTATTAGTTTCGTACTTATTGTAAAGACCAAAGTACAGGTACGGTTTACTGTTATTTCTGTTAACTAAACATAGAAGCTTGGTAAAGTTACATTCTTGATTCTTAGAAACTTTACAGTTCTAGACAATAATTGTTTTTCGCAATGCTACTAAACCTCTGTTAGCTTAGTCCAGTTATCTATATTTAAGTAAGCAAGAGTAATGTACTCGAGCAATCAGTCCTAATACAGATATATTGAGACTTTAAGAATGTTAGTTAGAATACCTACATTGAATTTTGAGATCTGCAGCAAATAAGAATGTATAAAAAGAATTAAAATACAACATTTTAAGCAAAATTCCTTGGTCATTAACGAAAACGATTTACATAGTTTGATTGCAGAATCGGATTATTTTAAGGGTTCCATACCCAAAGGGTAAAACAGGACCCTATTACTAAGACTCCGCCGTCCGTCTGTTTGACTGTCCGTTTGTCAGCAGGCTGTATCTTAAGAACCGTGATAGTTAGACAGTTGAAATTTTCACAGATGATGTATTTCTGTTGCCGCCATAACAACAAATATCTACTAAAACCAGAATAAAATAAATATTTAATGGTATTTATGATATTGATAACGGCAACAGATAGACGCTTGAAATATTTACACAATATTTAGTTATACATATATACACTTTAAATATAAATAATAAAATAAAATAAGATAAAACAAATATTTAAGAGACAATTGTGATAGTACAAGGGACTATAACAAACGTGATTTTTTGGCGTTTTTATGGATAATGGTACGGAATCCTTGGTGCGCGAGTCCGACTCGCACTCGGGCGGTTTTTTATTAATCAATTTATCACAAAGTATGAATCGTCTTAGTTCAATAAAAAAAGTTATACTCGTAGATACCAGTTGCAATGAAGGTGTTTTACTTAATTAAAGGTATTTTTAAAACTTTTCTGTCATATTAAAGTATTGAAGTATATTTTTTAAGTTGCATTTATGAAAATATACAAGACAGTCTAAGTTATAAGGGTAGTTAAGGAAGAGTAAAGGACCAATCATTAAGATCTCTTTTTATATTTACAGCACATGTTTAACCATGATATGTGTGACCATGAGTTCTTTCTGCAAAAGTAAGCCAATTTCTGATAAAAGAAACATGCAATAAATTTTTTACACGTTCTTCTAGAAAGAGTGTAAAGATATATGAATGTCATAGATGATTTACCATGCAGAAAATTTAATAACACTTAACAACTTCACACTGACCAATGTGTTTATGCAAAAATCAGTAAAAAAAAACTCAGTACTAAAAACGATCGAACATTCATATTTATATATCATCTGAATATAAAAGTGAATTTATTATTTTTCTCAAATTATTCGACCCAAATTTATTACAAAAGATTTTGTAGTATTTCGATTTTAATGTCCACCAAAAAGCGTATCTAATATAAAGAAGTTTTAAACATAACTTCTGTCATTTTATTTTATTTGAACCAAGTAAAAAAATGACTAGTAATGAACTGGGTATGCATTTTTGCTAAAGTTAAAAAGTAATTCGATTTTATAATGGGTAATTTTGGGTTTGACAATTAATTGAATATATTGTTCACCACACGTAATTTTAACAGCTAAGTATAATACTAACATTGGTGTTCAGTACAAATGGTTTCGTAAAGTTCAATAGATAAATGAACCCTTATAAAGTACACCAGCATGATCTAAAGTTTATATTGTTGACAAATACGATCCGTCCAGCACGTCGGCAGTTTATTGCGTGCAATGACAGCCGACTCATTGTTGACCACATACAAAGGTTTACGAGGACCTCGTAAAAATAAAAATAGGCTTTTGGCAGGTCAAAGTTTGCTTGATTGTTTGAAGTGGGCGCGACACGGTCAATCAATTTATTAAATTTTTTACGAGGCTATTAGAAATTTTAATTATTGTTTTCGTAGCTTCAGTATTAATTTAAAAAGTACGAGAAATATTAAAATAATCATACTATTTTCGTCACATTTAAAATAAATGTGAATTTATAATAAATGTGTCTCAATAATACAATACAAAACAAAAAATACACAGATGCATGTATATATGTGTGTATTATGGGGAGATTTTAAACATACTGTGGATTACCACAGTATGTTTAAAATCTCCCCATAATACACAAACACACACAATAATCTGTGTGTGTGCTATTAAGCACACACACACACACGTATCAATCATCTTTAAATGCAGATATTGTGAATTTCTTTCAAGTTCTGTCAATTCGCGATAACGGGTCTTAATCGCTAGAAGGGGCATGAAATCGACTATATATATTTACATCACTTACACGTTTTATTTTTCATGATATTACATTAATCGAAGTTTTCCTCACTGCTCTCAAAATTTGACATTTCTACGAGTATGCTTGATGTGCAACACTCCTTCGACTTTCAAGTAAAAAAATATTCTTTTGTAACTTCTCCTTTTCCTATTGTTTGCGTCGCCAAGATTACATTGTGCTGTATTACTATATTCAAAGTTTTATAATTATACGGTTTTTTTCTGCTCCGAATATTTTTTTTTTTACTGATACTAGGTACTGTGATTCACAAAATAACAGTTCATTCGATACCTTCGTACTTATATTACATAGAAAACAAAGTATAAGAGTTGCATTGCCATTAGTACTATTAGTAATGTAAAAATCAATCATTATAGCTGATTCTAAATATACTAGCTTTTGCCCGCGGCCCCGCCCTTGTATATGTATGTAGGTTACCGCGGTAAAAAGTAGCCTATGTTACATGCTGATAATGTAGCTTTACATCGTTGAAGGAATTTTTAAAATTGGTTTTAGTGGTTTAGGCTTGAAAGTGCAACAAACAAACAAACAGACTCACTGTCACATTGATATTAAAAAAGTAGGTAAGTATAGATGGATAACTGGGACTAGTTTTAAGTATAACTCATAAAAGTGATCCACAAGAGAATTTGATCAGTGCCAAGACCCCAACTGCAATTAAAAGTTACTCATCGTGTTAATTTAGTAATTAAGTGTTTGTGGCAACGCCCCTGTTTCATGATCTATTTAGCTGATAATTGATTATTGTTGCTCTTGAGTCAATGACATACTTAAAAGAAGACCTCTCTCAGGTAGTTAGACTTGATTCATGCCTTGAACGACGCTTTTGTTGATAGTTTATTAATTGTAAATAAAATAATATCAGAAACTTCAATAGTGCCAAAAAAGTTTAGAACTTTGAATATGTACATACAAGTAGTAAATTTAAGATGGATGAATAACTGAGTACTTGCGATTCGTGTTGTGTTCGTTTTGTGTAAGTGTGAATATTAAAGATATTGCTATGAATATTCATAAAATAAATAGTCACAGAGTAATTAATATCTTAACCAGTAGGTGCGATCTAAAAAGTTCTGCAATCTCGCTGGTTTTGGGTGCTTTAACTGGGCGTTTCTTCAATGTATATAGCACAGTAGGTATATGACTTGCTTTGGTTTGCTTTTATACTTATATAATACATAATTAATATAATTACATCGTTTTAAGACATAGATTTTTTGAATAAGCCAAATTAGAATAATAGTTTTATTCTACAACAGGACAGTGTTTGTATTGTTTTA